ACCAGGCTACTCAGAGCCCCATCCAACCTGGCCTTGAACACTGCCAAGGATGAGACATCCACAACTTTTTTGGGCAACCTGTTCCAATGCCTCACCACTCTCACAATAAAGAATTTCTTCCTAGTAGCTAATCTAAACCTGCTCTCTTTCAGTTTAAAGCCATTCYCCCTTGTTCTGTCACTAYATGGCCTTGTCARAAGTCCCTCTYCAGGCTTCTTTTGATTCTGGAAGGTGCTCCAATGCCTGCCTGGAGCCTTCACTTCTCCAGGCTGAACAATCCCAACTTTCTCAGCCTGCCTTCATACAAGAGGTGCTTCAGCCTTCTGATCATCTTCATAATTTTGAGACTATCATTTTTTTTACTAGTTCTGAGAGTGAAAAAAAAAATAGAATAGCAAAGTGTTATAAAATTGTTTCTTGAAGTTTTAGTGGACACTTTTTGGAGAATTGTTTAACATGCTATTTTCAGTGCTACTATGCTCATGTAGTGATTCTGTGCACTTCCACATTTACTTTTGGTACTGTAATTTTTTAATGCCATAATAATACCAAAAAAAAGCATCCTAGTGTCTGTGATGGGTTTAATAGGGATTAAGCGCTGTAGAGTTAACACATTTGTCATCATAGCTGCATCTTCCCCACAGAATAATAGGATGAAGCAACATAATGCTACATTGTACAGCAAACCCCATACCGGATGAGCCACACAGTTGTGTTGACAGTGCTGATTAACTGCTCTACCTTGCATTTGCAGAGATTAATTTCATGTGAAAGCATCCTAATAATAGATGTTCAGACTGAGCTCTGCTATTACACAACAGGGCAGTAAATTGGCCAGTAGGAGATTTGGGTCTTGCTGAGAGATAATGATGAATACCTGTCAGTACAGCAGTTGGTCCACTTCCAAACAATCTAAAAATACATATCATGCTTATGCTGCTCACACGGTGAAACATGTAATGCCTTCAGTGTGTCTAAAGGCTAACCAGGCAATCAGTGCTCTAGTCTAACCCTGCTAAAATTCCCTTTGAATACTTCTGCTTGACGCACAGTAAAACAAATCAGCTAAAAAGATGTCTGGTCTATAACCTCTCTATTACTTGTGAGAGTCTCTATCCATGTCTGTCTCTTKTCCAATAAAACCAAGCACGCAATCATTCACACCCCAAACGTGTACAAATAAACCTTACTAATTAACTTAGTGAAACCTATTCGTCAGTATTTATGGCCTATTTTCTGTTGTAGAACCTTTAACTAAAGTTGTAAAACAGTGCCTGTAAAGGCCTTCTGCAGTACAGACTGCAACTACTAAAACTTAGATTTTATTTTTATATATTTTGTCCTTTATTCCACTGTTGTCTCAATTATTTTTCCTTTCGTTCATTCCTTCTGGGGTTTTGTTCCATCCCTATCAGACACTGCAAGGCAAGAAGGGTTTCTCAAGGGGWATGACATGCTGCTCAAAAACACTCAAGGTTCAGCAGAACATTCCATTTAGTTCACACACAACACAAAACGTCTGAAATCTGTTCCAGTTGTCGATTTTATTCCAAAGGTGTCTTCCACACATTTTTAATATATAGAAATAAATATGAAAGGCCTATACAAATATGAACAGGAAAGTACCAATACTGCCCTTCATTTTTACACTGATCTTTCAATACTTAAAGGGACAAAACTGTAGCAAACAGCCCACATCCTTAGTAAAATAAATTCTACAAAATTTCTGGTAACAAATGTCCGTCCATATCTAACAGAACCGTCATGCTTGAGTTTTCTTGTACATATATGCAGCCTCAACATATTCAGCTGCCTTTGAGATGTTCACAACATAGACTGATGTACATTTTCCTCAAGATTGACGTAAAAAAAAGTCATACTTAAGTTATACTCCAATGCAGGAATTTGACATTATCACTTTTAATTACATACTGTGTTAATTTTGTATTTTTAAACACATTCCAATAAATTAAGAAGAACACAGTCTTGCCAAATAAAACCCAAGTCATTTGAAAATCCAGAGTGGGCATTTGCTTTTATATAACATGATTCTTCCCAAAGCTTTAAAAAATATGATTTAACACCACATAAAATGTTTTTGGTATAATATCATAAAGTAAGTAAGCTCTCTGCTTCTTGTAAACCACAATTGATAGACAATTTCCCATAAAGTGATTTTTTTCTAACATAGGACRTGATCCACATGCATTTATGCAATGTCACTAATTTACACATTTATAAGAATATAAAGCAAAGTATGTGCTTAAATGGTGAGAGGAACGGATACTAAATCACATACAACTGTTCCTTCAAAACTTGGGTATTTGTTGGGAGGCTTTTTTGGGGGTGTATTCATTTTTCTTTGTTGAGAAAAGGTCAAACCCCAACAATACTGAAAGAAGACCATGTCATAGAGCAAAAACCTSTTTTTACTTTTCATAAGGMATTCATCCTCATCCCAAAACTAAAAAGTTCCCAGATGCTAATTTAAGACCTGCAGATTGAACTTGCTGGGCTGGAAATTGGAAGAAATAATTCAGATATTTMCTATTTGGACAATAAAACATGGGCTTTAATTCAGAAAAAATATAACAATATAATTTGCTCTAAGTAYATAAAAGCCCAATCGTGCAACTCTCTCCTGTTGATTCAATTGTTTTCACTTAAGGAAAGTATACAGAACTTCCCTCTCAACTCCGATTTAGTAATTTACATAAATTAATGTTTGAAGGATGTATGTTTAACAGTTTACCTGTATACTAAATCTTAAGGATATTTGGGAAGGTCTACCCTGTTTTTCAAAAGAACTAATACTTCTAAAGAGTGTTTTAATAATTTTCTCTTCCCATCAAAATAAAGCTTTTTGAGCTCATGTTACTAAAYAGTACTCTCATKCCCACTTCYTGACTTTTGAACACTTGGCTCATTGTTTCAAAAGAGAATTTGTAGATTCAATGAGAAATACATGGTACAAGTCTCTACTCAAGGGCAGATATYCAGTATGGCTTGGAATAGCAGCTGTGTTGTAGGGTTCTCCTTTACAGCATCGGAGTGATTTTGGTAACAAACTTCCTTGGATTGCTGTAGTTCTCTAATCCATTTTCACTCCTCCAAACTCTTTTTGAGTTCACCCAACAAAACAAAACCCTTTGCAACACAGGTTTTGCAGGTATTGCTACAGGTTCTGCAGGCCAGAGGTGGCTGACAGTTTTCCAGCTGTGTGAGAGTAACAACCTCAGGGAAGTTTTCTTGTGTGTTGTACCGCATTAATCTGGCCCACACAACCTTCACACAGTGATGAGGGTCAAGACACAGACTCCAGCTCTGCAAAGGGTTTGACATTCAGGGTAAAGATCCACCATGGTGGGGATGGGGGACAAAGACAGACCAAAAGGAAGACAGACCATATACATACAGGCTTGCAGTGTTTTTTGGAAAACAAACCCAAAATCAATGACCCACACACTTCAAAGGCAGGAATGCATTTATCAATTTCCCCATTATGAATGATTTGAAGTTTGGGCTCCTGAGCTTGATACTCAACAGGGGAAAGAGCAAGGGCACAATGACTTCTATCTTAAATTAGACAACAGTATAATTAGGACAGTATTTAAAACCTATTATTAGAAGAATGAATAATTTAAAAATGTGACTTTAAGAATTTTATAACTAAATAGTAGTTTACAGAAGTTTAAGTTCAGAAAACCTTAATCTTCTTTCTTTTGTGTTTGAAATCGTTCCATTAAAGCCCTAAATATATTTCCTGGTATTTTCTGATGTTTGTCTATGAGAGCTTGGACTGCTGCTTGTGTCTGTAGGGAAAGAGAAAAGGTTTTGGTCAGGAAAACTCATCTTTATATTGCTTATAAAATAATATAATTCCTAGGCTCTTTTTCATTCTTTCAAATGCCACAGAACTACTGCAAGTTCAAAATCCTATTCTTCCATATTTAAGCCCATAGGATGCGATTGTGGCAACACTGCAATGAAACAGACCAACAAACCAGTATATCTTACCTCTGGTAGTTATGTTCACAAGCCCTTAGTGATATGCAAAAGTCAAATGACAATGGAGTAAATTAATGAAGAGGCCTGGGTCCATAAAGTATGTCAAGCACCTGGATGATGTCCTGCAACTCAAACTCCTGMCTGTGCCCAGGTTTGCATCAGTAACACTCTTCCAGTGTGTGTGAACTTTGCTTCTACRCATGCTCAGAAGCAGCACTGGAAACACCCTTGTACCCCAGCACATTTGACTTGCACAAAGTAATGCCCTCTGGATTCAAGTCCTCTAAGGGAACTACTGTAATACACATTCAGGCCACTTAGCTTCATGTGACAGCAGCCTTCACTTTATTCAAAAACCAAACAGGCCAAGGAGTGCACAGCAGTTGCCCTTCTTACATAAAAATTCTGTAAGGAACATTTAAAAGCAGGGCAATATGCAAAAGCTGTGGTGAGAACACATCATAATCTTTCTATTCTCCTAGAGTGGCACAGACTAGTGAATTCTCAAGGACAGAAAGAGAAGGACAGATAACTATTTGCCTTTGCAAGCCAGTAGTTTTTGGAATGTTATAAGTGACCATCTGTGGAGCTTCCAAAAATACTATTTCAACCCACTCTGTCTCACTGCTCCACCACTTAACTGGTTTATGTCTTTGAACTGTGAAATCTATTAATAAACTGAATGAACATGAGGACCTGAAAATCCTTTCTATAAAGCACCTAAATATGAATTAGAGGAACATTTAAAAGTTAATTTTTTATTGGGGTGAAAAATTGGACAAAATTGAAACACAGTAGACAAAGCAGTGAAATTACTTTTTTAATTACTATTTTCTGTAATTCCAGCATTTTTTGAACATAGATTTGCTATGGCTGAAAGGCTTCCTTGATATCTTTCTGAAAAGACTAAGGAGCAGAATGCTTCCTCTTGGATGAAGTATTTCTCTCTATAAACCCAGAGCTGTCTTATCTGACTGAACTTCTTCAGTCTTTAAAGCAAATTGTTTCTCAAAGGAAATATAGTRTGCAATAAACTTTAGAAGATCTAGAACATCTGCAAGTTGTAGTAATAAAAAGATAATATTTAAGAAGGGCATTCACAGTTAGGCAAGCCCAAAACTTACCATGACTCCACTAATTTCTATAACTAGTTCCTAGACAGAAATCACTTGACAAAACTATTGCAGTGGTTTTTATCAGAACATTCAGTAATTTAAATTAATATATATACATATCTGTCTTACCTTTGCAGCTAGCTCCTCAGCAGTCATATTTGGTTCATATGGAATGGGTTCTCCAATAAATGTACGTAGCTTGACAGGAAATCCCCCGTACAGAGGRACTACTGGCAATCTTATACGTTCATATAGTATCCTAAATATTTCTAATGTGAAAAAATATAGTGGAAAGGAGGAGAAAAAAGGGTGGGGAAGGCAGAAGGGGAGTGGGGAAGGGTGAATGAGGGAAGAGAGGGGAAAAGAGAAAGAGAGAGAGAGAGAGAGAGAGTGAGAGTGGGGGAGAGAGACTGAGATTATTCTGTGAAGTTTTTTCTCAGTATGTCTTAATACTGAAACTGGCTTGTAAAGTAATCTAGCCCCCAACCCACATTCTCAAACAATGCATCATCTCAAGTGCTATTACACCCTTAACTTTCATTTCCTAAAAGCTGTGTTAATGCTAATATCAGACTTGTTTCTATCCTAACTTGGTGTGAAATCTTTCCTCCAAAGAGTAGCTGAAACAAGAAGGAAGAAGARGAAGGTAATTCATAGATGCCTCTCCGGGGAGCAAGGGAATGCTACACAATGCAGATTACAGGTTCAGCTTATTTGACAGGTTAGCATTAGAAACCAGTATTGGAAGACTGCACTGTTCAATCCCACTGAGATCTAGAAGACCAGAAATAGTCTTGTCTGCCTAAAGGTCAGTCACGGTAACATACTCTTTCAGATCACACACTGGTTGCAGTTAATATAAAAAGCAAGAAAAAACAGGTATTTCAATCAGCTCTATGAGAACACATTCTTCCCCACATGCCACCTTCTAATCATTTACCCCAGAAGAGAGTCTTTGAAGAATGTGTGCTAATGTTATCYTTCTCAATTTCAGACAAGAAATTCYATTAACTGAGGTGTTGGCATAAGAACTGATCAAGATGGGTAATTTTCTGTACACAACCTATAAAAACAACGACCAAACTACTGAAACTGGTGTTTATTTTTGTACAACACAACAAATGTGTGAATTATTCTAGATTCTGCATCTGATGCCTTGGCTTTCTGCATGCAATATATAGCTCTTAATTAGAGGGGGTGAGAAACRGAACTGTTTCTGTGTGCCCTGCAGTTGCCCTGCAGTTCTCTGATGAAGGTGATGATGCCATACTTGAGACAGAACACGTGGTGTGGAGGAGAATTGTTCAGGTGCTCAACTAGATAGTAACTAAGAGAACATAAAAAAGAGGGAGTTTAACACTAAGAAATGAACAGAGATGTGGGCATCTAATCATCCCTGACCCTTCAGAAAAAGACCTGTCTCATTTATGTTCTGTCTGAAAATTCCAGATATAAGGAAGGAGAGATGGCAAATGCAAGTTTTTCTGAGGAACCACAGGTCTAGTGCAGGACAGAAAAGCAACTACAGATTAAATGTAGTTCAAATCATTAAAAGTTTAAGTATATGTAGAGGTGTAAGCACAGAGCTTTAGGAGAACATTAAAAGGAATTACGAAGGTCAGTTGCAAACCTGTTTGCTTTGCTTCTTAACAGACAGCAGAAAACCTAGGGTTGGCCTAGCAGGTATAAGCAGAGAAAAAAGCACTGTAAATCTTCCTGCCTTTTCTGGCTCCTTTTCTCTTTCCTCTACTGCTTTTGTAAAAGAACACCGTTATGTGGAAAATAACTTAGATGAGYCAATACCATATCTAATGCTGATATTAAATCCTAATAACATCTTTGAATGYTACCAGAGAGCAAACACTGAGAAATAAGGTGGTGTTAAATGTCAAAGTTTCTACAGAGATAGGCTAAACATATATGGAAAAATAAACTACAAAAAAATAGAAAATATCTTACTTATTCCTCCTAATGTCCTAAAGCCTTCTCGAACATTTTGTGTAAACATAGGAATGATGGGCTAGGAGGGAAAAAAAATTAAGAATGTAAGGAAGACAGCACTATCTAAGAAACTTCTACCTCACTTAAACTCAACAAGTAAATTAATTTCAGAACTTTTTTCTCAGACAAGGACATACAGGGAACAAAACAAATATTCTGAAGTTTTTCTGTGACCTTCTGCCATGAGTTTTCAAACTGGAAAATACCACAGGATTTCTGTAAGTCACTGTTTCAGCAAGTCCCTTTTCTTAAAGCAGTCCAGAATTTCAGAACCTATGGAGCATTTAGGTGTCCCTCCCCCCATCTAGCAGTATTTGCACAGTTGCAACTTAAGTGCTTAAACCTCTTACCTAATTTGTAGTTATGCTCAAAGGGAAGAATTCACAGGATTGGGACACTAAACTTGTCTGATTCCTCTCTGCTATGCTGATGGTATTGCTTCACACTTGATGTGTCATATTCAACACATGTCCATGACTTATTCCTGCTGATGAATACTTGGAATATTTCAAGTTTTTATTGCTGTTTTTGAAATTGCAAACAGCTGTCAGGATTTACAAGAACTGTGAGGAGGTCAGCTACTATATGAAGTTTTTAACATCATTTTATAGTATGTACACAGCATCATCAGAAATACAGAACTCTTCATGGGATTTTCACACATTCAGACTCTTTTAAACTTTTTAAAGACAAGCATGGATTTGAGCTAGCACATGAAACTTTTCAGACATGCATCAAGTTGGGGGTTTTTGAGAGAAAAAAAGTCGGTCAATAATTACAGAGAATAAAAAGAAGTGCAGTTGCCTAACTGAATGGATACAAATATCTTTATTCTAGAACAATTTTATTTGGAAGTCTTACTTTTGACATAAAAGGTAGAAACTTTTTTGTGTATGACTAAAATTCTGACAAAAGAACTGCTGAAATGAGACAACTTCAACAAGTTGAAGGTCCCAATTTTAGACGCATTTTTCTGATGTTTCAAACACACTGTTCTTTCCATAAGGAGTTCTGCTTAGGATTCAAGGTAACKTAAAAGCTCATATTTAATCTAAATAAAGATGGTTTTCCCACTTTCAGACTGCCTCTGACACTCTTCCTATTTTACTGCATCTCTCAAGGTTTTTTTAGGGGGGATGAAACTACAAGACCCTTGTGAGTGCATAAAGGGAACCCAATACACATCCAATAAAATAAATGTAACCAGTACAACCATAGTTGAATCTCAATTATGGCCTTTCACATGCTATTACAATACACTAGTAAAATCTAAACCTGTTGAAAATATTCTGTTTAAACAGTGTTATTATCTTTGTGAAAAAGTGACGTACACTTGGGTCTTAAAAGTACTCTATTTCTGTATAAAATCCAGAGATCTAACTAGTCTGTCTTTGACAGTACCTAAATATAAAACTCTTGGTGTGAGACTTGCTTTTAAATTAGGTATATGCAGACCTACAGACATATGCACACAACTTTCAAGTATAAAATTAGAATGAGAAGGACTCTGAAATGATTACTAAAATAGTTATAATTCAAATATGTCACACAACTGCCTTAACAGTTGGTCCCCTATGAATAACTACCTGCCTGCTGATCAAGCCCAATGCTAGACATKAGAACTGAAGAGAGAGTTGATACCTGTGACCAGCATCTCCTGCTGCTGTACGCCCTGGACATCCCTCACTACTGTAAAATGCCAATACCTCATGGTGCCAGTGAGGCTATACCCTGTTGGGTCACACCACACTTCAGTGATACAAGAAACAGAAACATTGAGTTGGACTCGATGACCCTAATGGTCCCTTCCAACTAAGYACACTTTCTGAGTCTTTGATATGCAGGGTTGTTTCCCAACCATGCTGGTCAGGGAGGGGCTAARCCATCACAATACTAACCAGGTATGTGTAAAACAGCACATGCTTGTCATGGAGAAACCATCCTGTATTTCGTCTCTCATTCTTTTAAACTCTGGATTTCCTGACCACACTATTTTAGCTGACTCTAAAGCCTTCTTACCTATCAAAAGCAAAAAAAAAAAATCTTGAAATGTAGTTATTAGAGCACTAGACCACACTCATGACAGTCAGAAATTTAACATTGAATATATGATAATCAAAACAGCTTTCTCTGGAAGAAAGTASTAATAACTTAGCATTTTTTGCTTCTCTTCCACGATGTGTCATACTTACCACTTTTGCATCAATGGCCACCTGAGCAAAGCCCTTCCGATTACTCCACAGAATAGTGTACATTTCATCACTAAAGAGTGCCTCCCGAACTCCACCYGGGGCAATGGCTAACAGACGGCCCTTCTTCAGAGTACTGACACAAGCTTCTTTTGGTCCATGTATAACTCCAAACACATCAAGTAATATTTTAAAACCTGTATGGTAAGATCACATTAATTCAGAAAATGTTGATTCATACTACCATTGAGTACAGATTCAAAGCACAGAACATTATGGCTAAAACTTACTTTTCTAATAATCTGTAGCACCAAGCCCCCAAGAGGGACTGAAGCATTAAGTTCAACTTAACAGATTTTAGTCTGCAAAGTTGAAGGTTTAGGGGTTTCAGTGGTTTTTTGTTATAGTAAAGTCAGATGTTATCCCACAACCAGGACTAAACTGAAAAAGAACTAAGTACTCTGTGCATCTTTCAGGTGTCCCTTCRAAGGAGTTGTTTGACTCCAGGGCACTGGACCCTTGCTCAAGCTCTACTGTTCAAACAAAGCGTAGTCCAAATAAAGAGCAACAAGAAGCAATACCAGRAAATTGTTGTGGTATTGTTTTATGAAGTTTGGCAAAGAGCATGCATAAGAAGGAGAATGACAAAAACAATGCATCATTYTCTGCATTACAGATGACTGCAGCAATTGACTCTCTGGTTCAGTCTGTGAGTACCTGGGTGGCCTTTCATAGGACAAGGCRTCTGGCAAGCCTCAGTTGGGTAMACTCACCTTCTGTTAATATTGTAAYTGAAGTTTTTCATCTAAGGTTACAAAAATTGCTCATATTACCTGGAATTTGACATGTCATTCTGACCATACTCCTCAAGAAATAGTAAGAACATAAACAATTTGCTAAAAGCATCAAATGTGAACACATCTGAACAATTTAGACAACTAGTCTAATGTTAAAGGACATAAYTAGCATAAGCCTCTTGTTGCAGGAAATCAGTCCTGTTCAGTTGCTTCAATAAGTTTTAAATTTATACAGTATTCATGAATAGTGCATACCAAAATGGGAACTTTGGATGACTGGGCAGTATGGGAAACATTAGTTCTCTTTCTTGAAGCTTCCCACTGAAGCAAACAACCTTATCAGCCATAGACAAGGACAAAGAATTGATCTAGTCAAGTTTGCCTCYCAATAACAAATGAATAGCTGTGACTATGAACACATTTGTTACATACACACACACACACTAATGGAGAGTCTGAATATAGTTAAGAAGACAGAGGTCTGTCTTCTGTTACAGCTCACATAAACTAAGCACTTGGGAAGAAAAACATGAGGCAACACATTGTTTATTTTTAACTAAACTCTGATCTCTAATTAGTCTTTATAGCTGGTGTGAATAAAACACTCCTGGGTCATCTTTATACACCATCAAGATCTGTCCATACACATGACAAAGGAACACAAGCTGCATTACACCTGTCTTGTATTTTGATGTGCCTGCCTCACACAYGGCTGATGACACTCAGTCTTCATCTAGTAGCATTTGCATGGAGGAACACCTGAAATAGTTTTCTTAAATGAAATCGATTTCTTTCAGGTGCTTTTTTTTGTGGGATTTTCAATAGCTGATTTTTAAAATGCTTTAAATTCCCAAACGAATTAAAACTCTCTGGAATGTACCTGGTGGTAAAAAACTGCTGTCTCTAAGTCCTTTTTGTCAGTGACCTCAGRAGAGAGACATAACAGTCATGAGAAGAGTTGAGATGAGCAGTAAAAGACTCCAAGGAAGCGAGACTGTGACAACACCTTTCCTTTGTCTACTGGATACACTGATGAAGGGGCAAGGGGGTGGGTTTGTGTGATAAAGTAATGAGTCTTTACATACAGCAGTAAAAAAAGAACAGAATATTGAYAGAATACAGACCAAAAATTGTACTACAGAATAGCTGTGAAGAGAGTCTKCCCAAAATTTCTCAGTTCTATTTCCCCCCTTGACTTTTAGTATCAACTTTATATTCTATATACTGTACTTCATAYCTTTGCCAGCAGATCACCCATTATTATCACTATCTCTGCTTCAGTACCCAAGAAGAATCAGGCTCCCCTAAAGCARCTGAGACACAGAATCTGATGCAGTGGCCCTGAAAGGACAATCAGGGTACCTYGTCCAAGGCAAAGGTCATCACAAAGTTAGAAGAAACACTGGGCTAGTACCAGGAAGCACTGCATGAAAGTGAYCAAGAATCTATTTTTCCATTTTAAATAACAAAACAACTCTCAAAATTATCTAAACAATTTTTCAGCCATGTAGAGCATGCTAGTTCTTCCAGATACCAAGAAGTCCAAACTTAATTTTATTCCACAGAGCAACCTGAACTCTGCCCTTTGCCCCAACATACTCTTCTCCTATTTTCCACACACCTGCGTTGGCAGAAATGTTTGAAAACCCTTTGGAAAGAGTCCAGCAATGCATGTAACACTGCTCTCAACTTGTGCACTATATACATTTCTCTGTCTTGGCCCCAGGGAGTGTAACATCAGGGCTGTCAGCTACCTGGTAGCCGGATGGCAAGGATGTCATCATTTTCCCATGGCTGACTTTTAGGACCCCAGGCAGAGAGGAATGATTTAGACCACTGAATCCAACCTTCCACAATTGTAGGTAATCACACACATGTATCTGTAGAGCATCTAGCCCWCAAGATACTTTGCAACACCTTGTGCATATAACAGACAAGAAGCCAAAGCTCCTTTCCTCTGGAACATTACAGGAAATGGATTTAGTTATGTAAAATAGTAGGCAACCTTTTAAAGAGGGCTCCCAGATAACTTTAAGAAGCAAAAATGGCCCCTACTGTTGGCAAGGATGAAATCTCTGTCCTCTCTGAACTCTTTGGGAAAAGGCTCTTAAATTTAGAGAAATCAATGTATTTCTGAGCACTACATAGCTATGAGTCTAAAGGAACCAGAAATCTGGAATATTTGGGTTTTTCCCTGTGGCTAACCTCTGGTTATAAAAGAAGGGAAAAAAGAATTCACAAGACCATATTTCATACCTTTCTCCTCCAAAATGCAAGCAACAGAAGCATACTTGGTACTGACACAATTCTGACACATCCAACTGCACCTAACAAACTCCCCAAACACACCACTCCCCCTTCCTATTCCCCTAGCCTGGAGTATAATAATTTTTGGTTAAAGCATCTTCTCAAAAGGCTTCCAATTTAATATGAACACTTAATCAAGATAAAACAACTTTAGTATTAGGATAAAMTCATGCAGTCTTTCTAGTTTGATTCATAATAGAAGCAGCCTCTTCCTGGGTTGCCAGCCATAGATTACTGTGCTTATTTTGAAGCATTTCTGGAGTATTTTCTGGGCTCTTCTGGGCTCTTTGGGCTTGTCTCCCTGAACAGTCTTAACTCCTTCACAGAACCAGAGAATTATGTAGATTAGAAGGAGGATCTGGAGGTCATCTAGTCCAGCCGCCCACTCAAAGCGGGTCCAACTAGATCAGGCTGCTCAGGGCCTCACCCAGCAGAGTTTTGTAAGTCTGCAAGGACGGAGATTCCTCAACTTGTCTAAGCAATCTGTTCAGGTGTCTGATCACTCTCATGGTAAAATACATTTCCACATGTCTAATCTAAACTTCCTGTGTTGCAACTTGTCTCTGTTGCTTCTCATTTTACAGGTGCTGTGCACCTGCAAAAAGAGTCTGACTTCCTCTTCACCATTCCACTAGGTCACTAAAGACAGCAATAGTATCTTTCCCTACCTTTATCTGGTACAAACCAAACAAATCCAGCTGTCTCTCAGCCTCTCCTTGTACACTGTGTGCTCCAGGCTCCCATCAGCCACTGAACATGCTCCAGTGTTTCAGCATGCCCTGTACTGGGGAGYCCAAAACTGTACACCATATTGCGAGATGTGCTTTCACAGGTGCCATGCCAAGAGAAAAAACTCTTCACTCAACCCCATGGCTAAAAAATAAAAGTTCAGCATGCAGTTTTTCTTCTTTGCTGTAAGGGCACACTGCTGACTCACATTCATTCAACTTGATATCCACTAGAATCCTAAGTCGTTTCCTGCAACACCCCCTTTCACCCAGAGTACAGTTGSACAGAATTTCTCCATTCCAAATGCACAACTCTACATTTTATTTCATTGAACTCCGTTATATTTCTGCCAGCTGACTTCTGTGAAGTCCCTCTGAAGAAAATCTTTAATGCAAAGTATATCAATGGCTCCCCCAGTTTGGTATCATCACTGCATATCCTGTGCATGCTCCATCCCCTCGTCCAGGGGTACTATCAAAACACAAAGCAGCAGTGGTGCCAGTATCAGTCCCTGAGGAATCCTGGTAGCTGTTAGCCAGATATTATACTGCTGAAACCAGTTCAAGACCAGCCATTCAGAGAGCTTTTTCTGCAATACTACTGAACGATATYTGGGGGACTCCTAAGTATACTTACACTTAAAGCCTTATTTCAAAGCAGAAATGGAGTAAAACAATTGCCCATTTGATAAACAACTATGCCAAATAGATACAACATGGAACCAAATCTGCATTACAAAGTAGGTCATATTAGTCACCTGTATGCAAAAGATTTGATAACCAACTGATGAATCTGCTGGCAAAACAGTTGTAGAGGCAAAATCATGCTGTGATCACTATGAAAAAGTTATTTTCATGTACTAAGGCTGAAATAAACCTATACTGACAAAACAATAGTCTTTTTATATGAGTTGGTTCTACTAAAAGCACCAGTACACTACACATCACTCCTTGTAATTAATTCTGTGAATTGACCAGCCTTTAGTCACAAACAGAACTTAAGAAAGGAAGTGGGTACTACAGTACTTCACACACAAAAAAAAACAAACACCTCATATAATTAATTTCACCAACTGGCAGTGCATTTCATTAGGCTGTCCATTGCCCTAAACTTATCTTTCATTTTCTACCTGTTTCACCTCGTGTTACACACAAACATGTTGGGCTGTTTCTCTAGCATTCCCCCAAAAGAAATCCAGCTCAAAACAGTCTTCCTGAGGACAGGTTCCACTGTCCACCATCCTCAGCTGGGTGGGATAAGAAAATACATTGTCTCACCAGACTAGCATTCTTAATTTTCAAGGTACTTGTTCCAAATAGTTTCATTTTAAGAAGTTCACACCACTCATCCTGCATATATTAACAAACATTAGTCTGAAAGCTGTGTTCCTGCAACACAATTTTTATTAACCACACACGTAAAAAATTAAGAAKTCCAAAACTGCTTGCTTGTAATGAAATATGTTACCTGGTAATCTAGAGACAAAATGATCGGCTACTACGCTGCAGTGCCTCCTCTGCGTCACATGAAGTCTAGCCACAAARTAGATATAGTCAACAGGAGTAGCTCCATGATAAAACACAACAAGTCCTGGTCCTTTAGGAAGATTTTTGACACCATGAAGCTCATAACCTGTTAGGAGTTAAAARTGTAACAGACATTAATTTTTTATACAATTGTATCTCAAAGAAACTAAGCAAGCAAGCTGGCAAACTGAAACCAACATTGACTGAGAAGMCCTGAGATCAAAGTGACCACTATGTTAAGAGGTAATTTGCAGCATCTACAAGAAATACAAGTTGCTTCACAGAGAATACAAGTTTCATTTAAAGCAAAACACTTTGAGAAAGAGCAAAAAAAACACATTAAAACAAAACACTTAGTCTCACTATCTTGAACTGTGTAATTTATCCTTCTTTTTTCAGTTCACTATTTTCAAGGCTTCAAAATCCTCTGAATCAGTCATTCAAGAGAAATCAAAATACGGGTTGGTGTGATGAAACAACTATTTCAAGCTATTATTAACCCTTCKAAGTTCCTTGCCACCAGTGACTGTTTCAGAATATTTGATGTGAAAGCATCCATTTACATGTCTCCTTTTACTCCAGGGTATGAAGTTTATCTTTGCTACTTCTCTCCAAGTTATACCTGTTCCACGTTTCCATCACTACATACTAAAAGCTAGTTGGGACTTTATATGCTTAGCTGAAAAATACATAAACACACCTAAGTTTCATACTGACCTTGCATTTCTATTCAAGTCACAGTGCAGAATACATTTAATTAACGCTAAATGTCAAAATGCATCAATATAGAACATATTCAGCTACTATCCAGTAGTACTGTTCCAGTATCTTTTTTAAAAATTAAATTAAACAAGCAAAGAAAAACAAAAGCACAAAAAACCCAACCAAAAAAAAAMCAACCAAAAACCCCAACCAAATTCTGTCACCTCTTCCAAAGTTAATCAAGTCTACAATTCCCATTCCGTTAATTTACATTTAATTCTGAAAATACTATGGGCTCTTCTCTCTCTATTTTACTTTGTATACATGTGGAGCTGCAACATATTGCAAGTGTATCATCTGTCCCATCCAAGGGACCACCAGCATGTTCCATGTCAGCCAAACAACACATAGATCATAATACACATAAAGTTACAGGTATCACACACCAGTTTAGGGGGTTGATTTGGTGCTTTTTGGTTGTGGGGTTGTTTTTTTCTTTTTTTCTTTTTTTTTTTTTAAATGCTGTTAGATTGCAGGATGGGAAGTTCTTCTTATGCATTCCTGATTAATCAAGTGGGAAAAAAAATAACTGGAAAATATTTCATTCTTCAGCAAGACAAATGTACAGATAAGAGGGAAGCAGCTGGCAGGGCAGAAAAATGTCACAGCTGTCAATGAGGGACYGGATAAGAATCTTTTATGCCTAAATAAAAAGTCAGACCTTATAAAAAGAAAAAGTTACTAAGGATCAAAAGAGCCAAGGCCTTAAAAAAATAATTTTCTTATGGAAAAAAAAAGTAAATAGGTTTTTATTGTGAAGTGAGCATTTTAAGCTCTTTGATGTAGCTGTTGATTTTGATGTAGTATACTTTGCTAGATTTGAAAGTTACATCTTAGCCTTACAAAGCCTATCTGATACAGCTGCTACACCATCTGGTTATCAATGCCTTGRAAACGCGCTTCCTTTTGACTACAGAACAAATAGAGATGATTTTCAAGAAGGATTTATTCTTTATGTAAATTGCTCTTAAGTATCTCTTTCTACTTTAGCTGCATCTATACTGAATGGCTCTGAAAGAGGCTTATGATTTCCTTAGACAGAAAAGCCAAATCGTTTATTAAGTCTGTCTYTATAAAGAAATGATAGGAGAAGGACAAGGAACAGGACCCTTAGTTTTGACGTTCTAGTAGCAGAAGTAGTCATCCAAAATACAAAGACWAATAAAAAAGTAGGGTTCCATAACAGTGTCAGGCTCTAAAGTTAATTTCAAGAAGCAACTAGTGAGTAAATTGATACTAAGTGCTCCTTTAAGCCATCATTTAGCATTTCATGTAAGACTGATAAAATGCAATTAAATTATGCTAACGTGTGCTGACATACTAGCTATCCCAGGGAACTGGCATTTAACTTCCAGTCTTCATACACTGACCCTGAAATGATACCGTTAACGGATCTAGTTTTTAACACAATATATATTTCAAGCCTTCTTCAAATGGGGAAATCCTGGAATTGTYATAAAAAGCAAAAAATGGAAAAACAGGGCAATATAAAAATTGTGCATCTATTCAACCAGAACACAGATCTCACTTTAGAGCAGAAGTGCAATAAATACGCAAGACAAAAAATTTATATTCAAAAATGTCTCAATTACTTTTTTTTTCTCTCAAGTACCGCTGCCAGTCATTCATAAAACAGAAAAAAAAAACCTGGCCTGAATTGGCATGCACCAGCAGCAACAATCAGGGATGTATTGATAATCTTGAAAGCTAAATGAGAAATAAGAGCTTCAGCAGTTTCCAATGAAATGTCAGATCTCACTCACCATGCCATATTCTTCCATGTCCATCCCATAGCGTAGCCAACGTTTCTCCMGCACCCGCCCAAAAATCCTGGGAATAAGCTTCCTTTAGTTCATTCTTCCTTTTATAAATAAGAAGTACGAGAATGGAAATGTAGAAGAGAACGACGATAACTCCCGGAAGTACAAAAACTAATACAAGTGGAAAAAGYACCCATACAATGTAGAATGCATAACTCAGATAATCTCCAATATGCTCCACACCAGTCCATTCTTCCAGAATGTAAGTCAGGCAAGTTAAGTAGGACATAGATACCGGTCCTGCAGTACAGGATTCATTTCCACCTGTCATCTCCTGTTTAAAATAAAATTTAAAAAAGYAGATGAATGCATCTTCCAAAAAGATAGACCTGCCTATACCGTTTAATTACATAATAAACCTCTCTGATTAATTTTATTCATATACCAGTTACCCCCAGCAGCACCTATTAGAAACATAACAGTTCACACAGCAAAACTTTTATTTGACCTTTACMRTCCTTTTCTTTTGTGTACTGGAGAYGCTGACAATTCTAATTGAGAAAGATGGTGCAACTGCTTAATTCTAGGCTAGGATTTTATCTAATTGAAAACTGTTTAACACGCACAGATCCAGAATATTTACACGGTTAATAATACCAATTAATACTATATTTTTTGATTTCAGAAAGCTGTATTGATTAACCTAATCTATTTACAATAAAATAAAACCTTCTCTCAAGCACAAACTACGACAGGAAACAGAATAATCTCAAATCCAGTGATATAAGGAAAACCTACTGAACATTTCCACTCACTACAATCATAGCGTGACTCAGGAAGAAGACTGTCTCAAGTAAGAAAGTCTCAGCCCTGGAAATACCTTTATCTGTACTTGGAAATTTACTGATAGTGAAACGGCAASACCCAGAGCACAACACTGAGAGGCRGCAGAAAAGACAAAGAAAAAAACTGTGTCTATGTAGAATGCCAGCTCCTAAAAAGTTACCAGCCCACAGAGGTCAAGCCTGGAATTTCAGGCTTTCTATAACTCTGGAGCAACACTTTTTTTTCTTAGCTTTGTACAATTTAAGGGGMAACTTGCTACTCACTTCACCTTACAAAAACACAGGACAACATGAATGTTCAGCTATTTTAGCTACAGTGCTCAAACAAGAAAATGTAATGCCTCTGGGTACAAAAGCTATTCTAGGCTAGAAAAACCTGGTTGGTCAATACTCCAAGTTCTGCTAGWCAGGACCAATAAGAAAAACATGTCGCAGCTCACAGGCTTGTAGAGAGAAATTGATTAAGAATAATATTTATGAAAAGATCTAAGCTTGAAGTTGTTGAGTTTTGTTTATCAGAATGTGACTTTTGGCAAGTATGACTGCAGAGCCCCTATGCCTAGACAGACATGTATGTCTACCACTCTTTTACTCTTGCTCTGTTTTTGAAAGTAACAAGACTTAAATACAGAAGATAATACTGCTATCAGAACCCCACTGACAACAAAAATTACACATCAGTTTTACTCCACATTTGCTAAGAAACATTGAAACATTCCTACGGTAGAACTCATTTCACTAATATTCCTATGTCTATTTTCCCTCACATTCTGAYAGAGCAAGGATGTCCCTTCTCCTTTGGTTTTGAAATCAGCCTCTACCCACATTACTCAAGATAACTCCCCATTAATGAGAAGAAAGCTGATCTTTGCTCCCGCAATCCATGCCTGTTCCACTACTTCAGGCTKAGAACATTTTGCTCCTCAGCATGGTCCTGAGGACAGCTCATTAATACCCAGCAATGTATAAGCACATAGCATCAGTGGCATGCCCTTCACTGATTTCATGCACCCGTGTTTGGGGTGTGATTAGGGGAAAAGGATKGGAGAGAGTGAGTGGGTGGGAAAGCAAGAGAAAGCTCTTTTTCATTCCAGTTGCCAGAGCCGAACTCCAGAACCTGTCAGGCAGCAAACACCCACAGCAAGCTTGTGAGACCAAGCAAGATTTAGAAGAAGCATTCAACACCACAATATTTATCAGATTGTTATGCCTGGACTTCTCCACCTACTACCTAGAGAATAATATGGAGCATGGACTATGGCACAGAAGCATTTTTTTCAAAATTGAGAGGTGATTATGTACTTAAAAGACTACTTAAAGCTATACTCTCCCTCCCTCTTATTATACATTTCCAATTGTTTACGACTTGCCCCAAACCCCAAATCCTCCATCAAGTAAMTTTAAAGTCCTGTTCACACACGTCAGTCTTGCAAAATACGATGTGTCCTTTTGCCTGTAATGTTCAATGCAATACCTCAAGGGCAATCACCAGTTTTATATCTGTGTGCTAACCTGCAACAGAAATTAAAAWCTACCATCTTCTGGGCTACCTGCCACAGAGGTAAGAGCTAAAGTACTGCATTCCCTTATGGACAGTCAACTCTAACCTGAACAATGCTGGTTCCTCATCCTAAAGAGAAACACAGATTAATTTATACTGGAAAGACTCATTGAACAGCATTTGTCCAAACTCTTTCTAAATAACAAGTGAAATCAGGTTGTTCAAGGACATGTCCARTCCAGTTTGTAGTACCTCCATGGATGGAGTTCCCTCAGCTTCTCTGGGCCTCTAATACAGTGCCTGAATACCTCAAAAATGTTTTTACTTATTCTAGTGCTAGAGTTCCCCTTACTACAGTGTCTGTGGTCCCTTTGCTGCAGTGATTCTACTTCCCCCTCTACAACCACTCATCAAGAGGAGCAGTAAGGTCCTCACAAGCTGGATACAATGGCAGTGAAGAAGGGAAGGCAGATTATGATCAAAAAAAGCCCAGAAGTTCCACTCAGTTGAATACAGGTTCAACATAGTTCTTACATGCTATTAACAGATAATRACACTTTGGTCTGTTCCAACTTGCTGTTGGGCAGTTCAAAATATGTTTTTCAGTTCTAACTTCCTAATACACCAGCTTACATATATTTTTTCACTAATTCAAAAAGATGCAATTTCTCATTTGACTAAGGACAATGCATACCGATTTATTCTTAACTTCAGCTTAACGAAGTGGAAACAAAGCTAACACACAATTCCCTTCACTGACTTCTACACAAGACCCAGAAAAGTCCTTAACTAAACTACAACAGAGGCCTTCAGCTGTGGTCAGCAGATGCTGGGATAACAAACCCTACTGATCACGACAGAAGGAGCGATTATAGACAGCAACACACTCTGCTGTAAACGACACACAGCACGATTTCAGCGTGTATATGAAATGTGTAAGTGAAACACATTTGGAAACATCCCAGTGTGTTTCCAAACTAGAAACACACTGCAAAGCAGAAACTACGACATGTYCCTGCCAACAGAAACACACGGCTACGGAGGGCGTTTCTACCAGAGTTACCACTGCCACCACAAGCACACAAAAATCCCYCAACAAACAAAAAATATCAGAAGACCCTGATAACCCCGCTAATGTCATCTGCGACAGGCGAGACCCTAGAAGTCAGAGGGTGGTTTAAGTCCTTGTTTTGGCACAAGAACTGGCCTGGCTTCTGTGGCGGCTGGTGAGTGGTTCCTTCTCCCTGAGGATGGAGGAGGTCGAGGCTCGCTTTCCGGACAAGGAGGACACAACAACCGCGGCCCGGCTGCCGCCTTGAAGCGCCCCCGGCCCCACCGCGCTCCGCCCGCTGCCCCTGTCCCGGCGGTGGCTAAAGCAAGGCCCTGAGCTGGTGGCGACAGAGGCCACAGCAGCAAGTCACCTCCCGCCCAGGCACCTGCGGGGTGGCAGCGGGCCCAGGCCAGGGCCGGGACCCCCCACCCGCCCGGCAGCGCCCGCTCACCTTCCCCTGGCGGCGGCGGCTCCCGCTCCGGCTCCAGCCCCGCGTACCTGCCGGGGCCCGGTTTTACTCTCCGCCCGCCGCCCCCGCGGAGGCCGGGTGCCCGCGGGGCGGCCGGGCCGGGGCGGC